GCCCTACCAACTGGCGTAGGCGCTCATGCATCTCCACAGATCACAATCCATTGTTGCCTAGAACCGCTCTCTTGATGATATACCTCCATGTCATTGTTTCAGTCCATCCAGCATAATCTCTCTGGGTCTGCCTCGAACCCTTTTTCCATTAATCTTTCTAGATGTCACAATGTTTTCTAATGCCTCTCCTGTTCTTACTTGACTAAAGAATAGCGTTTGTTTCCAACGTATTGTTGTATATAGAGATCTACTTTAGCTAGCTTCTTTCAAACAATCATTGTTAGTTACTCTGGCCGTCCAAGGTATTTGTAACATTCGTCTCAGAAACCACATCCCTGTTGCTTCCAAATCTGTGAAACAATATTAAGGGAGGGATGGGGGTTAACATAATCTGTTTTGTCTCATTGTCCTTTCCTCTGCCTAGTTTAAAGTCGATTATATCTCGACAGACAATCGCTGGCGACCTCAATGTTTGTTTAAGCAGAAGCTTGCGGTTCAATTTAAACGACATAGTTTCGAATTTCACAACACATTATATTGTGGACGTTGTGATATGCGCATTTCTGCAAACTTTCATTTAATGTAAGAAGAAAACGGTTTGGCAGTTTACGCTTCTCGCTTCACATCAGCCAAAATGCGAGATTTTGACAGAAGAATTAGAATCCGTTCCATTATCGGCTATTTGTGGGTTTGTTGGTAACGACTGCTGCAGAACACACACTACATTCGCTGCAAGCAATTAGAACAATTTCGAACTGTACATGCGTCATTAGGCAAGTTTTTCCCCTTAATACAGCATCTGTAAATTCATTTATCTATTCTCTTAGTGCAAGCAATGTAAGCATTTAGAAAAAGAGTTGTCGTGAAAACATGCTCTTATCTTTTGCTCCGCCAAAAGTATTTATTAATTATAGCTGATATACAAGAAAGCAGAAATGTGGATTCACCACTAGCATCATCCTCTTTTTTTTTGTTTTTGTGTGTGTGTGGATCGGATTATCTGTTATATGTGATCCAGGAGGATGGATCGCATATCTGGCGAAGTGTCTAGGGGTGATGATCTTGCTTCGCCCATACATGCACAAGTTCGCCCATACATACAAAAGTTCGCCCATACATACAAAAGTTCGCCCATATATAAAAAGTTTGCCCATACATAAAAAAGTTCGCCCATTCATGCCAAAGTTCGCCCATGCATACAAAAGTTCGCCCATACATAAAAAAGTTCGCCCATTCATGCCAAAGTTCGCCGATACACACAAAAGTTCGCCCATACATAAAAAAAAAAGTTCGCCCATACATAAAAAAAAGTCTTCGAATCGACAACGTACTAGAAACAGTAGAATCCCCAAGTCAACTGAAACAGTAGAATCCCAAAGTCAACTCCAAAACACTAAAAGTCATTTCTGTAATAGTGCATCAATCTATTTATTATGGACCAAACACGTTACGACGCAGGCGATCACGTCTCTGACCTCTGGTACAGTTGAATAGCAAAGTGAGTTTAGCACACGACATTATCTTTTACCTTGAAACTAGTAGATGTGAGGATTTGAACTTAGAGAAAGGCAAATGAAAGTAGCCGTGGCACAGCAACAACACTACCCACTGAGTGCCAGTTGGTAAAATATAGTTTGAAAAAAAAAGTAAAATTAAAGGCCCCTTTCGACGCCTTTAGGCGTATTGGGCATATAGGGTTAAACCTATATTTTATAAACCAATCGGTACTTGGTAGATGATATGGTGAGCATCACGCCGGCCGCCTTTACTTCCCAGGCTTGTACTGGTACTCACTCAAGACACGTTCGACCTGGGAGCCAATGTTATTTTTGAAAAAAAAAAGTCTGGTTTCGCCAGGATCTGAAGCACGACCTTCTGATCCACAGGCGAGTATCTAGCTGCTACACCACGGAGACTGGAGTGAAATATACAGCTAAGGTTGAAGCCCAAAAGATATAAGAGCCTGGATACGGAACCTTTACTTTACTAAATATTGACAAATAGAATCATTTGGGCTCTTTTACAGTAGCAACAGCAGCAATTGCAGCAGCAGCAGCGGCAGCAACAGCAACAGCGGCAGCATAAGCAGCAACATCAGTATCAATAACAAGAAACGTTACTCAGTTTAATTTTTTTACTTCAAATAAAGTTGCTTATTTTTTAAAACCCAAGAATATCCATAAACACAGTAAAAGTTTCCAAGATGTATGATGCTATTAAGGATGATACAGGCTACATAATATTAAATAGATGTTTTTTTCACTATCACCCCCTAGTACTTTTATTCGGCCTAGTCCGTGACGGCTTGCCAGTTTGTGAATCAACTGTTGATAAACAGATCGACGCAGCGTGAAATCAGGTTAGCGTACAGCAACATTAATCTCCGCCACGCAAAAAACAAAACAAACATATTCTCATTAACTTCTTCCTAGCCAACCATAACGAGAGCACAGAAACCAAAATAAAGAAATTTGGCTTTAAAAACGCAATCTGGCCGCTTAATGCACTTTACTTCCCCATACCGGACCCATGTTTTGCTTTGAGTACAAAATAATCCGGGTATATCAAGGAAAGCTAGGCAGCACCGTGAAAGCAACAAATAAAAAAAGGATAGTGTTAATGTTTCATGCAGACATTGTTTGACAGAAAATGGTGCAGTAAACCTTTACGTTCTGAACAACGGTTGATACGGGACTTATCAAATGTAATAGCCGCCTACATGAGAGATTACCTTGCACTTGAGGCAGCGCTGTCAAGAGCCTTGGATCAAGTTGGGAGCAACAAAAATATCATTATAGCAACATTAATTCCTATTTCATCACGGTGTCTGCTTTTATCATTGTTAGCCAGCCGAAACAAAGTAATAAAATTTCTTGCAAGACTTGGAATTACATTCTTGGAGCTGGGGGAGAGATGTGTGTTCGCGCATTGGTCGTGAGAGGATTTTGCGTATTACCGGGGAGCAAGTACACAAAGAAAACATAGGGTGGGGGTTATGGGGGGGGGGGGGGGAAGAAGAGAGGACAACTCAGCCAACTTGTACATTTTTTAGTGGTGGGGCGCTCAAGGGAGCCTGGTTTAAATGCGCAGTAAAAATATTACGCAATAAAAATAAATATTATTATCAACAATATTCTGATGCGCTGAAAGGTAAAATAAAAAAAATTATATAGGAAATAATAGGAAATGTTCAAAGAGGAAAACATGTACATATTGTTGGAAAAAAAGGCGGGGGGGGGGGGGGGGGGGAGGAGAGCACTTACCCCCATCCGTCAATTCCCCCTCCCCTCGCATGTTTTCTTTTCGTGAAATGGGCGTGGTTTCTGACTACGCCTCATGATATCTTTACCTGGGGGGTGGGGGGTGGGGGTGGGGGGGGGGACAATGTGCCAGAGCCCTGAAATTCCGACAACCCTATTGAGGGGGGGGGTGGGGTGGGGGGGGGGTGACAGAGAGAGAGAGAGAGAGAGAGAGAGAGAGAGAGAGAGAGAGAGAGAGAGAGAGAGGGGGAATTATTGTCAGTGGAAGGGTGTGACAGAGAGAGACAGAGAGAAGGGGAGGGATATGATAGCGGGGGGCGGGGTAGCATAGTTCTTTCTTCTCGGTTAATTCTGCGCAGTCAGAAGTTTCTGTAGTGTTAGTGTTTGGAAAAAAATTACGGAGATTTAAATGACAATCTTTCCCGGTGTAGTCAAAATACCATCTGGTATGTTTAGGTACGGCGTTGTTTTCTGGCATCATCGCTGTGACCCAGAACTCGTTATAAATAAACTGATGTGTCAGACAGTTCTCTTATAGGACCTGGTAATTCAGTAGTTTACAACTACTTGGATTTTTCAATTTTGTTTTACAATACTACTACTAATGTAATAGTTTCTAATAGCTATTATTAATGCAAGTATTATTATAGATGCCACTTGTGCTGCAATTACTGCTGTTGCTGCTGCAAATGATAATAACAATAATGACACTACCGAAACAAAATTTAATCTTCCTCCTCCTCCTACTACTACTACTACTACTACTACTCCTACTACTACTACTAGTACTACTGCAAACATTAAAAACTACTGCTACTGCTGTTACTACTACTACTACTACTACTACTACTACTACTACTACTACTACTACTACTACTACTACTACTACTACTACTACTACTACTACTACTCAGACTACTACTACTACTACTACTACTACTACTACTACTACTACTACTACCACCACCACCACCACCACCACCACCACAACAACAACAACAACAACAACAACAACAACAACAACTACTACTACTACTACTACTACTACTACTACTACTACTACTACTACTACTACTACTACTACTACTACTACTACTACTACTACTACTACTATTAGTACTACTACTACTACTACTACTACTACTACTACTACTACTACAACTACTACTACTTATGCTGCTATTACTACCACCACTACTAATGGTAAACAATATCTGTCTGTCTGTCTGTCTCTCTGTATGTGTGTGTGTGTGTGTGTGTGTGTGTGTGTGTGTGTGTGTTTTTGTCCACAGATACCAATATGACTTTCCTACCAACTGCCACACGTTTCTCGGTTTTACTCACACGTTAAAGTTCTTACCAAACGACACATTTCACGTTCTGCCTAGCCTACAGATCTATCTAAATTTCTCTCTCTCTCTCTCTCTCTCTCTCTCTCTCTCTCTCTCTCTCTCTCTCTCTCCCTCTCTCTCTCTCTCTCTCTGTATGTGTGTGTGTGTGTTTTGCCTACATGTTCTTGACGTAACACTATTACCAAAAGCCTAATAGATCGCTGTGTTTTGCCTACATGTTCTTGACGTAACATTATTACCAAAAGCCTAAAAGCCCTATGTCTTTTGCCTACATGTTCTTGACGTAACATTATTACCAAAAGCCTAAACGCCCGATGTCTTTTGCCTACATGTTCTTGACGTAACATTATTACCAAAAACCTAATAGCCCGCTGTGTTTTGCCTGCAGGTACTCCCGTCAACCGTATTCCAATCATGGCCAAGCAAACGTTGGACTTGTACGAGCTGTTCAGACTGGTCGTCTCCAAGGGCGGCCTGGTCGAGGTCATCAACAAGAAGCTGTGGCGAGAGATCACCAAAGGATTAAACCTGCCCTCTTCCATTACCAGTGCAGCATTTACACTGCGAACCCAGTGAGTATAAACTGTTTTATGTGGCCTAGGGTTGTGAACGAAGCTTAGCAACTCTGATAAATCTGCTTTCGGAGTCAGCTGCAGGCTGTTTGGTAGTAATAGTAAGTATTACCCCACTAATACATCACTCAAGTGGTAAAACCCGATGACACAAAGTGCCACCATGCGGATGAGGATCACTCGTGGAGAGGTCTGGGAAACCGCGTTCAGCCATTAGACCATATTTATGGCTGCGCTAAACTGCGGCCCCTGGCTAGAGCCTGGTGGGGTTTCAAAATAAAGAGAATAATTTGATCTTAATGTGATGGTAGCAGATTGCCCTGCGTTTCTTTTAATATATCACTATAAGCAGTGTACCACTCAGTAAGCAGTTCAAACTGCGAGGCTTAAACTCGTCATTTAGAATCATAAATAATAAACAAATGCAGGGGTTTCCGATCTCATATTAATATGTAGTTAACTTAGTTAAAGTGATAATTGATTTCTACTTCTTCGCGTTCATTGCTTGTAAACCCCTGCCGACATCCTGGGTGTCCTAGATAGTTATTACCCTTACCTCTTTTAGTCCCATATAGTTGTCACCCTTACCTGTTTTAGTCCCAGACAGTTGTTATCCTTACCTCTTTTAGTCCCAGATTGTTGTCATTATTACCACTTTTAGTCTTTGATAGTTGTCACCCTTACCTCTTTTAGTCCCATAAGTTTTCACACTTACCTCTTTTAGTCCCAGATAGTTGTCGCCCTTCCCACATTTAGTCCCAGACAGTTGTAACCCTTAACTCTTTTAGTCCTAGATAGTTGTCACCCTTACCTCTTTTAGTCTTAAGTAGTTGTCACCCTTACGTCTTTTAGACCTAGATAGTTGTCACCCTTACCTCTTTTAGTCCCAGATAGTTGTCACCCTTACCTCTTTTAGTCCTAGCTAGTTGTCAACCTTACCTCTTATAGTCTCAGATAGTTGTCACACTTACCTCTTTTAGGCATAGATAGTTGTCACACTTACCTCTTTTAGTCCCAGATAGTTGTCACACTTGTCTCTTTTAGTCCCAGATAGTTGTCACCCTTACCTCTTTTAGTCCCAGAAAGTTGTCATCCTTACCTCTTTTAGTCCCAGATAATTGTCACACTTACCTCTTTTAGTCCAAGATAGTTGTCACACTTTCTTCTTTTAGTCCTAGATAGTTGTCACCCTTATCTCTTTTAATCCCCAGATAGTTGTCACCCTTACCTCTTTTAGTCCTAGCTAGTTGTCACCCTTACCTTGTTTAATCTCAGATAGTTGCCACACTTACCTCTTTTAGGCATAGCTAGATGTCACGCTTACCTCTTTTAGTCTCAGATAGTTCTCACCCTTACCTCTGTTAGTCCCATTTAGTTGTCACACTTACCTCTTTTAGTCTCAGATATTTGTCACCCTTACCTCTTTTAGTCCCATATAGTTGTCACACTTAACTCTTTTAGTCCCATATAGTTGTCACACTTACCCTTTTTAGTCCTATATAGTTGTCCCCCTTACCTCTTTTAGTCCCATATAGTTGTCACCCTTACCTCTTTTAGTCCCATATAGTTGTCACCCTTACCTCTTTTAGTCCCATATAGTTGTCACACTTACCTCTTTTAGGCCTAGATAGTTGTCACCGTGACCTCTTTTAGTCCCAGATAGTTGTCACCCTTACCTCTTCTTGGGTCGACCCAAGAGCCAAGGTAAACTTTTGAAAGTAAAAAAAAAAAGTCCGGCTGCGTCAGGACTTGAACCCACGACCTTCTGATCCACAGACAAGCGAACTGGAATATAAAAATAGACCTATATTTTATAGACTAATTGGGACTCATTTGATGATGGTGTCAACATCACGCTAGCCACCTTTACTTCCAAAGACTTTACCTAGCACCCATTTACGGCTTGGTCGACCTGGGAGTCAAAATCATTTATTTTCTAAAGTAGGGTTTCGTTTGGACTTGAACCCGCGACCTTCGAATCGCTACATAACCGCAGATCCTATACAATACGTGAAGAAAATAATAAACGCAAAGTGCGTTGCTTGGTGCTAAAAGAGTTGCGTACCATAACAAAGCTATGAAATTTCAAGATTTCGGCGCAAATGCAAGAAGCATAGGACTAATAGCAGTGTTAGATAACACTTGCATGAATAGATAACGATCCAATAAACGCGGAAATTAGCGTTTTAATATAATAGACATCACAACATATTCACTAGAGTAATAACTTTTTACAGCACACGAATGTTAACAGCCAAAAATTGCATATTTTATGATTTAAATGCAATTTTCAGTTAAATGTTATTCTAGAGGGATAGTCGATGAGACAGTGAGATAGTGTAAAACCCTCATCGTGTCACTTCATTTCAATAATAAAATCGCTTGCGATGGGTGTTATAGCAAGCGGGATATTCCGTTAATTGTCGGATTCACGAAATATTAACGTCTGGAAGGTGAAATTGAGGGACACTCGAGGGCGAATATGTTGTCAATAATGCGGGGATTGGAGGAATATTAAGCAGTTATTATAAAATTAGTGAGTTAATGTTTCAGTGCGCGCTTTGCTAGCCGTCTGTTGTTTTGGGAGTATTCGTGTTGCAGCAACTGACTCGTCCATGGCGAATCTCATTGTGGTTAGTTTGACGTTAGTCTTCCCAGAACCCGCCCATTTACACACTAGCTCACTTCTGATTGGGACTTCCTGAGCCCCGAGGCCTTAGTACACGGTTACGGGGGTGTTCCGCAATGCCGTTGATATCGTGTGTTGTATATTTTAACACGCCAGCGCTTTTAACAAACACAAAACAAAACAAAATTGGGTCTAACACAAACCAAAGGCGTGGAAAAGGGTGATTCCCATTGCAGACATATGTAAAGCCGTTTTAATCTATTTGTTATTACTAACTACATGCATATGAAATATCTATTTATCATGCAGGTATGTTTGTTACTACCATCTGTGTGTTTATTGAATATATATATATATATATATATATTTGTTACTACAACTTGTGAATATATGAAATATATAATTGTTACTTCCATCTGTGAGTATATGAAATATATATTTGTTACTACCATCTGTGAGTATATGAAATATATATTTGTTACTACCATCTGCGAGTATATGAAATATATATTTGTTACTACCATCTGTGAGTATATGAAATATATATTTGCTATTACCATCTACAGGTATATGAAATATCTGTTTGTTATTACCATCTACAGGTTTATGAAATATCTAGTTGTTATTACCATCTACAGGTATATGAAATATCTAGTTGTTTTTACCATCTACAGGTATATGAAATATCTAGTTGTTATTACCATCTACAGGTATATGAAATATCTAGTTGTTATTACCATCTACAGGTATATGAAATATCTATATCCATACGAATGCGACAAGCTGAAGCTCAGCAGCCCATCGGAGCTGCAAGCCGCCATAGACGGAAACCGAAGAGAAGGTCGTCGGTCCAGTTACGGCTATGACATGTCACCTGGACCCACCTTGATGCCGTCGAGTCACCCTCTAAACGGGAGCCTCATGAACGGAAAGCTGGGAGCCTCTTCACCTCGTGAGTTTGTCTTGCGCTCACATTGTTGACGGCACTGGTATCTGTTATGTTATTGTCAAGAGAAGGGACTGGTCGAGTGGGTAGGACGCTGGGCTCTCAAGTGGTAGACCATGGTAGGAATCTTGTGTAGTGTGAACTGTACGTTACATGGCCCTAGCCACTTCCCGTCTGACTGGCACCTTTCCATCTTTTCAGACAATAGTGTTATATTTAACTATGAGGAGGCATGGTACTCACAGCCCATGGCTATGGCGAGTGTGACTAGCAAGACCCCACCCTACCCCCCGCGTTAAGCAAAGTCTTTAACAATTACAGCATGGGATTTACGAACCGCTGTATTTAACATTTGTGTCTACTCTGTGTTTTTTTCCCTCTCAGATGATCAGCTCTCATCCGTATTGCAGTAATTTTTTACTTTCTTCCTAATCCCTTCCTTATGTGCCTCCCTCCACACAACACGGTCCATGGCATTTTGTCCCCCCCCCCCTCCCCCAAGTCCATCTCAATACCTGTACTACTCAAGTCCCGCTCGCACACATTTTTATTTCGTAGTAGTGGTCCGATCTGGGCACACATTTAACAGCGGACTCGTCAAAGGAAAGTTGCGAGCCTCTTCACTTTGTGATTTTGTCTAACCTTCCAATTTCAGACATCGCCGGCATCTGTTATTTTATTGTTAAGAGAAGAGACTGACCCCGCTGTAAAAACGCTGAGATGTCATGTGATAGACTTGGGTTCACATTGTCAGTAATATGGTGAGTTTCTGTTTTTCTGTCGAGGACATATTCAAAAATCCGAACTCAGAAGGTAGAGGCCGGCTGCACTTGCTCAGCGGCCATAATAATCAGCAGAGTTAAGACCTCTTTGTGCAACACCACCCTAAAACGTGATAATCACAGGCAGCAGAGACCAACCACCAAACTAAACAGTCAGCTAACAAGAGAACTTGTTAAACATCCAAAAACTCACACAATCAACAAATCAAACTTATAAAACAAAGTCACGTTCTTAATTTATAACGTACCCCAAACACGAAATCTCCCTGGGAAATCCACAGCTGACCTGACAGTCCATTATTTCAAGGTGTGGAAGTGTGCTGTTGTGTGGTGCTTTTTTTTTTTTGAGTGTTTATCTATTGTCTTATAATGCTAACCCTAACCCTAACCCTAAACTTGGCTGTAGATAAATCGCGAGAAAATACAACCTGAACACCCTAGAATTTATTGGGAATGTCTCACGTGACGTTGTCGTGACGTCAGGGGTAAGTTATAAATTAAGTACCCAAAGTCATTATCAGCTCCTCTACAGCAGCGATTCTCAAACTGGGTGCCAAGGATTCTGTTGCAAAAATCCATAATTTTTCCAAATCAGTTTGAGATCAGCGAAGACAGCTGTTTAAAAGAGAAAAACCGCGAAAGA